TCAGCAGCTCCGGCCGGGTCAGGAACGGTTTGTGGAGCAAAGCCTATGCAGTTGCAGGCTTCAATACAGCCCCTCGGAGCCACAGCTCCCAAGAGCTCAGCGCTCTCATCCTCACGAGGGTGAGTCGGGGTGCAGGGAGCATCCTGGCGTGCAGGAGGGGAGGGCAGCGCTGGGGAACTGGGGGTGGGCTTGGCCCAAAGCAGGGAGCACAGAACAGGCTTGGGCCGCACCAGCTACCATGCGAGCCCATCCCTGCCTCATTTCCTACCACGTGGACCAGCCTCTGCCGCCGGGGGCCAGCAAGTTGTAGAAAGGAAGGGCCAGGCTGGCAGTGCTGCATGGAGGCCCCTCCAGCTCCTTGGGGGTTAAACCCCCCAACCCAGGCAGCCGGACATCTCTGCACAGCCCAAACACCTCTGCACGCACCCTGGCATTTTAGCACCGGGCTTCAGAGACCACAACAGGCTCCTCGGTCAGCAGTCGCCAGTCTTGGGAGAGCCCAGAGGAAGCCAAATCTACTTTCTTCTTGGCTACAGGGAGTGTAGTTTGTGAAGAGGAGGAGAAGAGATCCCCCTGCCCCCAGGCACTTACTTCAGGCACTGGATGTAGAGGTAGATCTTCACCAGGCTGCACAGGACGGAGACTGCACAGGCACCGACCAGCCCTGCAAGGGAGGAGACCAGAGGGTCCTGAGAAGGGCCAGAGAGGGGCCAGGTGGGGGACAGGGCAGGCTGGGCACCCTCACCTTGCAGGACGGAGTCCATCAGGGCAGTGCCCCAGGCCAGGCTGGGCAGGCTGGGCAGCCAGGAGCCCAGGGAGAGCATTTTTAAGTGGGTTGGAAGGAGCTGGGAGGCAGGTGTGTGGAGTTGGGCTCCTCTCCCCAGCCCTGCGCGGGTGATGTCAGCCTAGGGCAAAGGTCTGGCAGAGGCATTGGGAAAGCAGGGCGGTGCCTGGGTAAATCATTCTGCGGGCCCAGGTGGAGCAGACGGGCTGTAGCCACCCCTGCCCAGGGACTAGCCCAGCAGCAGGGGCCGTTTGGCAACAGCTTTCAGTGGACCGAGTGCAGTGGAGAGAGATGCCAGACAGGCTCCGGGGCACCCAGTTAAGAGGGGACAGGCTGGGGCTACAGCCCAGAGAAACCTGGGTCAATCAACTCCATGTCCGTGTTTGAGCTGCTCCTGTTCTCGGGGCGCCTTTATCTTCTCTGACGGATGGGTGGGCCGCGCAGAGGAAACGGTGCTAGGTTGACGTGCCCCTGCTGCGACAGGGACATCTAATAGCACCACTCTCCATCTGCCGACAAACGCATCTCCTCTGGTGTCCAAACCTGAGGGCTGCTGGGTGTTTCCAGGCTTCAACCAGCTCCCCTCCTGCTTTTCTTTCTCCAGCAACTGCCAAAGGGAAGTGCCTGGCTGCTCATGGATTACAGTCACTGGTGCTAATTATGATGCCAGCTGTGTTAACTCTTTTCTGAGAGACACAGACCTGACCTTGCTATTAGCTTTGGTGGGTCCTTGCTAATCACGCCCAGGTGTGGAGGCCCAAGATGGACCATGGAGCAGGGGAGCGGACTGGTCTTCAGATCAGCATCGTGTAGTGGCCCCGTGAAATGTCAGCTAGGGTTTTGCAGGGGGGAGCCTCTCGGGGCCAGCCGGGTCCACCTCCCTGCAGCTGAATGCTGACTCCAGGGCAGATACCTGAGAGCCGTCAGTCTGGGGGGGTCTCATGGGACCCGAGCAGCTTTCTGAGGTGCGGCCAGCCCAGGATCCCTGGGTCCCAAAGCTCTTTGCAGGTGTGCATGCATGCGTGTGGGTAACTGCTCGTATCACTTGATGCTGGCGGTCTCCGATTCACCCCACATCCATGGCTCAGCAGTCCTGAGGTGTTCAGGGGGGTCTGTAGCTCCCGGGACCTGCCCAGAGGGAACCTGTGCTGGTGCAGGGGGTGTTAGGTGCTGCGGGATGGCACCGTGACTTGAGGTGGATGTTGTGGGCTGGGCGGCAGCCACCGACCACGTGAGCAGGCCCAGGGCTGTGTGTATGTCTGCATTGCGATGGAGAGGGTACGGCTTCTCTACATGGCTCGTGCCCCGGTCGCGGGTGGGGGAGCAGAGGGGACCGAGCTCTGCAGGGTGCCGGCAAGCAGACTCAGGGGCAGTGGTGACTACAGGCTCAGTCCATGGTGCTGGGGGCAGTGGCAGACCACGGGCGTGCCCTGGACCCAGCGCAGCAGGTGAGGCTTCCCAGTGCTGGGAGAGGCAGAACTGGCTCCAAAGCAGCAGGGCTGGCTGCAAACACTGTCCCCTTCCACCACTGAGGCAGTGAACGGCCCATCTCTAGCACCAGTCCTCCAGCTTTCCCATGGCCGTGCTTGGGCAAACGGGAGGTAAATTCCTCTAAATTTGCAGGCAGTACCTGACTCGCATCCCTGGAGGGAGAGCACGTGCTGTCCTGTGCTCACCTGGCTCCAAGTTGCTGCCCTGGAGACAAGTGGTGTGTGGCCAGATCTGCTGGGTGGGTCCCTATTGCCCTTTGCTGCTGCATGCCCTCGATGCCTGGGGCTACAGCATCTGCTTCAAAGTGCCAGCAAGGGCAGTGGTCGCACCAGGTCCAGGTCCCAGCGACCTGGGCTGAGCCAGGACACGCGGGCAGGGCAGGACCCCCATGGAGCCCTGCAACCACCGGCAGCAAATTAAAAACCCACAGGACAGACATAAAAACAAGGCACAAGAATCAGACCCTTTTATTGGGTTGCTGTGATCCAGGCTCCTATACAGCCTGCGCTGCGGTCTTGCCCCACTCCCTTCATCACCCCGTATGGGGCTGGGTCGGCAGCACTCCCAGCGTGAAGGGCACCAGGTCAACGTGTGACCGAGGGAAGAGGCTTGGCAGGCCAGGATCATCAGTGCTCAGGGGTCTCCCCCCTGACATGGAGGAGGGTGGGGGGAGCTGCTTCCCTGGACTTGGGCCGCAGCAGTTTGCTTCCCAGCTCCCATGTCTGCTGCCAGGCTCACACAGGCTGGGGTGGGTTTGCGAGGCTAGGAAGTGGGTTTGCAAGAGGCTGAGAGCACAGACCCAGGGGGCTTGTGGAGTGCTACGAGCTCCCCCCTGGAAAAGGGAGAGCTGCCTGCTCACCCCAAGGAAATCCACCTCGCAGCCCCCTCACCCCACTGCCTGGGTGGGCAGCCCCTGCCCTGTCCATTTAGCAGTGCCCATCTCCAGAGCAGCACGGCGCCCGGGACCTCTCCCAGGCCAGGCCGCGGCACATGGGCAGTCATGGAGGGCACCGCGGTGTCCCCCGGGTGCTGCTGGTGACATGCTCCTTGGAACAGACCTCTCCGCACACTGCTCGGCTCCCCCCGCGCAGACCCTGCTCCCCTGCAGCGAGGATGAGGGACTAGCCCTCTGGCGAAGGGCCACACTTGGGTCCTTCTCCAGCAGACAGCCCCCAAGAGCTTGGCCCTCCAAGCCCATGCAAGGCCAAGAGTAGCTTGTAGCATGCTGCCTGGCACACGTACGTGCCCAGGGCCCCGCAGCACCTTACCACACATCAAGTAATTTACCCCACTGGCAGCCCCACGAGGAAGGTGAGTGCAATGACCCCTGTTTTGCTGGTGGGGAAACTGAGGCACCAGAGAGGGACTCAGCTTGCCCAAGAGAAAGCCCGTGTCAGGTGGGTGCACACCTGGGTTGGACGCACTGCGGCAGGCTCAGATGGCAGAGTTCGCTGTACAGGAGACACCGGTCCTGGATGGAGCCCCAGCCTCTCGTTCGGGGGTGTCTGGACCCAATGGCAGGCAGCCGAGCTGGGCCCGGAGCTCCCCCCCAGACCCAGATGTCTTGGGGGGCTTCAGACTCCCTTCAAGACCTGCCCTGACTCTGCCTGGGCTCCCGTACAGCAGCAGCCCTGCTGCTCCCAGGCTCCAGGTCTCATCACGCTGGTGCGGAGATCTCAGCGTCCGCGTGCCCATGACGGACGCGCCGGTCTTGCTCACGCAGAGGCTTAGACGTCGTGCTGCGGGTGGTAACAGGCCAGCTTCCGCAGCTCATCCCAGAAGAGCAGGCTGAGGATGGTGTGTGGCCCCAGGCGCAGGTAGGCAGGGCCGATGCCTTTATATAGGGCCAGGATGCCCTCCTTGCCGGAGATCTGCACAAAGCAGTTCAGAAACCCTCGGTAGAGCATCCCCTGGAGATAAAACACAGTGAGGGATAAGAAACAGGGCCCTACTTGTGCCCTCCTTCCACGCATGCCCAGCCCTGCCATCATCCCTCTCGATCTTTCCAGTTTGTCTGCATCCTCACTGCAGGTCGGAGACCAGGGCCAGACCCAACTCACCAGTACTGCATCCCTACTCAGCTGAGATCCCCTCACAACATCTCCCCTTGCAAGGCTGATCACAGTAAGGCTGGATTTTCAGAAGATCTGGGCTTACTTTTGACCATCTGGTCCTCAGGAACCTCAGCCAAGAACTCATCGGGCGCGTCTACACGTTCATTAATGAGCGTTAGGTAACATGCATTAAATCTAGTACCTCCATTGTGAGATACTAGGAGAATGCACAGCAGCCGATCTTAATGTGCATTAGCTAAAGAGCACAGGTTTTTTGGTGATACTTGAAGGTGTATTAAAATAGGCTAGCGTGCATTAAAGCTCATGTGTAGACACACCCGTGATTACACTAATGCTTTATGCCCTTCCCATGAGGATTTCAAAGTACTTTAGGCAAGGATTGCTCTGCCTGGGGGAAAACAATTACCCCCATTTTACTGAGGGGAAAAACCAAGGCAGGAAGCAGATCGAATTCGTCTGGGGCATCGCTTGCCGTGTTCTTGCAGACTGTGCTTCAGAACAAGTGAAAGCCTGAAAGCTCCATGTTGCAGAAGAGCCTTTTACCGGGATAAACCAGCAGTCACCTCAAAACGACTCTGGCTGACCTGCTGGACTACCGGAGTGGAATTTGGGTCGTTATTTTTAAATGAAAACGTTTGAAGAAGCGGTGAGCTCTTGGTGCACCAGAAAGGGTCCCACTTTTGGAGTCAGAGCAGGTGCAATGTGGCCAGAGCTTCCTTTTCAAGGGGAAATATAAGGCCTGCTCCCCAGCTGGTATAAATACATGTAAGGAAGGACAAGCACCAGCTGAAGACCTGCCCGATGTTTTCCTGCTCGTTGTGTGCCACGTCCTGATTCTCCTTGAGGTCTATTTATAAGTGCTGTTTCGAGGAAGCTTTCATAAGTAACGTGACGTGACCCGGTGCCTGCCCGACTTCTTGTAGAAACCCACGGGAGCCAAAAGGAGAAGTGCCAAGCTGACGGGGTTCAGTGGGCCACGTGGGGGAAGTGCCCAATCTGGGCGCGATGGGGCAGCTGCCGGGCGTGTGGCCGAGGCATGGACAGAGGCTGGGGAAGGGATGAAAACATCCCTTTGGACGAGTGACCCAGCACCCGGGGGCTATAAATACAGACATCGGGTTGCTTGCTGGCAAGCGCTGGGTCACGTGGCAGGCATCTGTTCAGTGCTCACAGCCGGCACTGCTGGGTGAAAGGCTACAGCCATCAGCCAGACGGGGGCTGACAGCGCGCTTCAGAGCCTCGGCTAGGATGCGGTCCTCCAGGTTCAATCACACCGTGCTGGGGGGAGCAGCCGGCCCATATCCCACCACCTCGGAGACGGTGAGAAAACGCCCTGAGCGACTGACTTGGCAAGGCACTGACTTCACCGTCGGGGTCTCAGCAGCCAAGACCCGTCTCTGTCCCGAGATCGGCTGAGAACGAGACAGCGCGCTCAGCAGACTAGGGAGGGGAAAGGTGCTCGGGGCAGCAAGGCCTACGGTGCACAGCACAGGGACGTGAGCCAGGGATGATCCCAGATCTTCCACCCGCTGTCCCCTCCAGGCCTCTGGTTCTCCATCAATGGGATATTTGTTGCCCTCACTTCTGCCCGTGGAGGGGGGTCACGAGATAACTATGTGGCGTGCTCACGTCAAGGGCCCCTACACCCCCATGTAGCCAGGACAGGGGAGCCGACCTGCCCGCACACCCCAGGCTCGTGCCGGGTTAGCCACTTACCATCCCCCGCTCGTCCACGGGCTGGTTGTAGAGTCTGGTGCTGACCACGTCGAAGGGAGTCATGGCCACGGCCACGGCCACGCTGCTGATCATGCCAGCTGCCAAGGCCACCATCCAGCTGCCCTCCTTGAACCACTGCGAAAGACAGGACCAATCAGCCTGATCGGCTGCTCTGCTTTCTGCTCCCTGACGTATGCTCCCTGCCTAATTAACTGCTCTGCTTTCCGCTCCCTGCCTCATCTGCTCTGCCTTCTGCCCCCTGTGCTACCTGCTCTTTCCTGATCTGCCAGGTGCCACCTCCAAGCTAAAGAGACCGGACGGGGAGCACCGAGGGCCCCCAACCCTTTGGTGCCTGGAGGCGGGCACCGCGATGTTCCAGCGCCTCACCTGCTCTTGCAAAGCTGTGGGTGGAGTGCCCTGGCTAGGCCCATGTCCCGTTGAAAAGGTGCCCCCCACGCTCCCCAGTGAGAAGGGAGGGGTGAGTGCCAGTCCCTGGAGCAATCCTAGCCCACAGTCCAGGCCCCCGCAGCTCCATGCAGCCCCTTACCTTGCGCTTCCTCACCCAGTCCTTGGCAGACGCGAAGGTGGCCAGCTGCACCGCAGAGCCCACCGTGACGCGGGGCACGGCGCCGTTCACGCCCCGCCACAGACCCACGATGCCCTGCTTCCTGTAGATGGTCTCAAAGGCGCTGGAGACGCTCTGGACAGAGTCAGACAGACAGGTGGGAATTAAAGGGGCCGAAGAAGAGGGGGACCAGGACAGCTATCCATGGCACCCTTCGCCCCAGCGATGCTGCATCCTATGGGCAGAGCTTGCAGAAATCAATGCTCCCTGGGTGCACTTGGGCCAAGGACGGTTAATCTACCAGTTAATCCTCTCTGAGGCAACCCATGGGGCTGTAACTCCCAGGGGAGGCTGTTGGCAGGACTCTACTTGCATAATCCCCGGAGAGAAGACACTGGCCGTGCCCAGCAGAGACGGCACGTACGGCATACCCTGGCTTTGCCATCTCTGCAGCTGGCGGGGGCCCTTTGCTTTCACCGCCCCTCAGCACGGAGCCAGGGCTTGCACAGCAGGATAGGAACCCGTGCACCTTGCTGCCGGGAGGTGAAGCACCGCCCGCCCGGCTGGGGCCAACGCAGCAAACAGGCAGTAATGGCAGCACCCACCCCCTCCTCCACCTCGGCCAGATCAATTCCTCCCATTCAGCAATTTCTGGTTGCAAAACACTCGGAGTCATCAGTTGTGGGAGCATTAATGGCTTGCGTCACTCTGTACATAGTGAGAGGGGGCTGAGATCCCCAAGTGACCCGCAGCAAACAGGGAGCAGGCCTGAAAACCCAGCAGCTCCACTGCACCCACAGCTGCAAGGGGCATTTCGCCACCAGGGAAGTGGGGAATACCCAGTGGGCATCACTGCCGCGGCTGGCCCAGCCTCCGCTCATGGAAGCTTGTGCTATATCTCCATCTTGGTTAGTCTACAAGGTGCAGATCTACCTGGCCTTCCCTTTGATGGCACACGCAGGGAGCGCGTGCTGCTGTGGCTTAGGCCCCTGCCACATGTTACATGCATTATGTGATTCACTGGCGAATCGTGCCACAAATTTAAACAGGGCACATGTGCAAAATAAGACCACGCATGCAAAGGTATTATCACGCAGTTAACTGGCGAATCGTGCAATAAAAGTAGACCCGCCGCACGTGCAAAGCAAGTAGATGCTAGAAAAAGAGCCAGCCAGCTGCCAAATTAGAGCTTCAATATGTGTAACAGCCTTATAGCTGGTTACTAGCCATCTTTCATTTGGTTGAGCCCTGTCTCTTGGAAGAAGCGTGCACAGCGAGACCCAGAGATGTCAGCTCAGGGCCGCGCACACACAATCGTAACCCTGGGCACACACCGCACCCACATCCGCATCCCTGGGCCAGCCTCTCTGCTCCTCCCACGTGCCACCCTGCCAGGAGACCAACCCGGCTCAGAAACCAACCCCAGGGAGGAAAACACTGGGTGGATTTGCAAGGCTTCTGCTCACCTGGTGGTTGTGCTGGTGTCCCACTGCCACGGCTGCCACGGTCTGGGCTTGCAGGTGAGTTTTGACCTGTAGCAATTAAAAGGAAACGGGCCACATTGGAGAGTAGGAAGCTGCCAGGGTGCACCCACTTCTACCCAGCGGGCTGAACTGGACCCCTCTCTCCTAAGGAGGACAGGAGTTATCCCACCAAATCACCCTGATTCCTCCTGCATTATTCTGGGGGGGGCGGATTCAGGCTCTAATTGCACGGGAAACCATGCATGTTGCCCCCCAGCAGGCCTTCCTCAGCCCCCTGACCGATGCCCTCTGGAGAGGGGCAAGTCCAGCCTGGCTCTCCCTGGTTGCCCACACACCCCTTGCAAGGGCCATACTTGACAGCCTGCGAGATTCCTTGCAAACTCAGCCCCTCGCTGCATCTTTGTTGGGTGGTGAGGTATGGTAGCAGAGCAAAGACCCCTACCCCGGCTCCTGTGCCCTTTCCTCTGCTCCTAGCAGGGTCAGACGTCTGCAGGAAGAGCAGGGGCACTGCAGGGAGTGGAGCTGAGCTCCTACTTCCCCCTCAGTCATTAAGCACCAATACGACGTTTGCTCCCCACAATGTCCCGAAAAACTGAGTCACTTCATAAGGCTCCAAAACTTGGGCATCGACATCCCGGAATATACTCCCCACCCTCCACGTACCAGCTGCTACAGCTTCCTTAGTCACTCCCTGTCCTAACTGGCAGTGTTGAGCTACTGGCTGCTGTCCCAGCCCCGAAGCAGCTGCATTGCATCCCTGGGTGAAATGATGAGTCCCATAAAAGCCCCTGGGGATGAGAAATGCTAGAAAAATCCTTTCCACTCAACACTTCAATGGGTGGCTCAGCGAAAAGCCTGGCGGGCTGCTCACCCCTGCCCAAGCGCATGAACTGCAGACATCAAAAGCAGCTGCTGGTCCCCTCCCAGTCAGTCAACTGGCGACCAAGTGAGCAGGCCCATGCACTGTGCAACTCCTTCCGTAGAAAGCAAGGCATTTCCCCAGAAGTGCCGATTGCTTTTTGGCAAGAGCACATACCATTTGATTTCCACAGAGCTGTGGCTATCTGAGCGGAGGAGGGGGAAACCTCATGGCTGCCCCAGCACCCAGCTGGAGGGGCGCGTGCCCACTGGCTCCGAGGAAGGCAGCGCGGCGGGTTGCAAGG